CACTATCTTTTTTTTCTTAATGCCCACTCTATACTCTTGATTACTAAGGCTTATTTCAGTGAGTCTTGAAATAAGGTGGTATAAGTCCTCAAAAATCCTTTTTCCTTTTTCAAGATTGGTTTTATTATTCTAGATCTCTTTTGTTCCATAGGAATTTTACCATCAGCATATCAGTTTCTTTTTAAAAAATCCTGCTGGGATTTCAACAGAGATTACATTTATATATCAAACTGCGAAGAATGGACATTTAAATAATATTGAGTCTTCCAGTCTATGAACATGGTCTGTCTTCATCTCAGTCTTCTTTCATTTACCTTAGCAATATTTTGCAGTTCTTAGTGTAGAGGTCTTGAGTATCTTTCTTTAGATTGACCTATAGATTTTTTTGTTGTTGTTGCAGTTATAACTGGTATTTCTTTAAATTTCATTTTCTCTTTGTTCTTTGCTTGTATATAGAGATACACTTAATTTTGTATGTTGACCTTCTATCATGAAACCTTGCTAAATTCACTTCCTAATTTTACTAGTGTTTTTGTAGGTTCTGTGCAGTTTCCAATGAAGACAGTCATATCACCAGAGAATATACTTCTTGCTTTCCAATCTTTATGCCTTTTATTTCTTTCTTGCCTTATTGTGCTGGCTGGAACATTCAGTGCATTATTGAATAGACGTGGTGACAGTGGACGTCCTTGTCTTATCCTCAGTTATAAGGGAAAGGGACTTAATGTTTCATCATTAGATATGTTGCTGGCTTTAGGTTTTTCATAGATGTCGTTTTCCAGGATGAAGAACTTCTTCCCCCTTTCTATTTCTAGTTCTCTGAGGGTTTTTAATCATGGATAGATATTAAATTAACATCGTCAAATACCTTTTTTTTTTTTCCCTGCATCAGTTAAGAGAATCATAAGGATTTTTCTCCTGTATACTGTAACTGAGGTGCTTGATTTTTTTTTCTTTTCTTTTTTTTTTTTTTTTAACTGTTAAACCAGTTTTGCTCCTTGGGATAAACCCCACTTGGTGATGATGATTACTTTTTCTTTATACGTTACTGGATGTGATTTGCTAATATTTTGTTAAGGATTTTTCCTTCTAGTAGTAGCAGACCTTTGCTTTTTGTATTAGTGCAGGATCTTGGGCCAAAGACAGTTTCTTGCTCCTGGCCCATTGTCATATCGATAGCTTTGCTTTCTGTTCATTCCTTAGCATCAGGGTATGTTTGTCTGCCACTGGTGGTGGCAGTGTTTCCTGCCTTCCTCTAGGGGTAGACTGTGGTTATGTTACATGGTGAAAGGCTTGTTTGTATGTGGGAGGTGGGCAAATAGGTTCTGCTCCCCCCACCCTCCCAGATAGTACACAGCTTTTGCTTTACTCTTCCCTTTCAGGCAGGGGAACTTTCCTTGGGCCCTGGGTATGAGAGGCTTTCCTGCATCTCCCCTCCCGGTTGAAGGCTTTTGCTTCATGTTAGGTGCCGCTTAAAGGGGAGGAACTCTCTCTCTTCTCTTGCCCCATGCCATTCTTTTTCAAGAGAACTCAGTTGAGAGCCTTTGAAAAGAGCTTGTGAATGAGTGCAGATTCCCCTTTCGTCTGGGTTTTCACTGCCATCCTAGCTGACACTCAGCCATTATCTTTATTTTTATCTTTAATATTCAGCAGATTGACTACTGTATGTTTCCTTTCCATCTGTGGGTTGATATCTGCCATCATTTTTGAGATGATTTTGGCCATTATCTCTTCTTAAGCTTTTTCTGCCCCATTCTCTCTTTTCATCTCCTGCTGGGACCCCAGTTACACTCCACTTAAACCCCAGTTGACATTTGGTCTTGGATGTTCTGGGATTTTTTCTACACTTTTTTTTTTTTCTCTTCATGTTTCAATCTGGGCATTTTAATTTGGCCTGTCTTCAAATTCACAGCTTGTTTCTGTCTTTTTAAATCTATCTAAAGAAATCTTTAATTTCTGATATTGTATTTTTCATTTTTAATGTTTCCCTGTGATCTTTTTTTTATAGCTTCAATGTCTGTGATTAAATTCTCCATTTCATTATTCATGTTGTCTATCTCTTCCATCAGTTTTCATCATAGTTCTTTTAAAGTATGTCTGATAATCCCAAAATCTAGGCCCTCTCTGATCTGATTATATTAATACTTTCATCTTTTGACTTTGGTTTGCTCCTCTCTCTGTCTTGTAATTTTTGATTGAATGCTGAATGTTTGTGTAAAATCAGTACAGGTTGAAGTATATATTATCTACTTCCCCAGAATGGCCCATTGTTTCTTGTGGGGCTAAGTCAACAAGATGTGTGCATAGTCAGCTAGTTCTGGGCTTATTTGCAACTTTATTTTGATTAGTTCAAGTGTTTTGAGAGTAGGATTAAGACTTTACTTTCTGTAAGATTTGTTGTCTTAGCGTAATTTCAGTTATCTCTTTATGCTTTGTATCTGAGCCATCAGCTTTCTGAACAGTGGTGACTTCTCTGCTTTACAGCCTAGCTGCTGGTTTCCTGGTCATTCTGGAGTTCTTTTTGCTCTCCAGTCTTACCCCAGGCTTTTGTGCCTAGTGAGATCTCTCTGTACGAGTAATACCTTCCAGTGCTTTCTCTCAGCAGTCCTTTCCTACCCCAGCCTTGGTAGTTCAATTTCCAGAGTATCTGCATGGAAGTTTCTGTCTCAGCTGTCTTGTCCCACCTCAGCCCTTGGCAGCTGAATGCCTGGAGTCTCTTGGATTGATTTCTCTCACATCTCACCACCACCCCTCCCACTCCCCCACCCCCACCCCGCCCTGCCACCTCCCCAGGGCATTTGAGGAAGACCCTAAGCTTCTTAGGGTACCTCTTAGCTTTCCTGCCCTGTCTTCCAACCTTTGCCATATTTTGGCCAACTCTTGGTGCAGACCTGTGGGATTGAGGGGTTGAGTGGTGCAGACTTGCTCTGTGGAATCCTTGGAATTCTAATGTCTTGTCAGCCTACATGTTACTGTTAAAATGTACTAAAATTTAGGCTGATTTCTCCTTACCTTCACTGTGGTGGGATTATTCCTCCTTAGCCACTCTACCAGGAAAGAGACCATCTGTGGGCCCCTCTTCTATCCAGACTCAATACTTTCTGGAATTTAGTTTCACTTAGGTTACTTTGCATCTTAAACTTTCTGATGGGTTCAGAAAAACCATGATTTTATAGCTTTTCTGTCTTGTTTTGATTGTTAGGGTGAAAGTGATGGTCTATTGTGACTCTGTATCTCCTGATTAGAAGTGGAACTCCTTCATGGAATACTTTCTGATATATAATCTGGCAAATACCTGATAAAGTTTGTTATTTCACTTCACCCTAGTTGATTTTCTACCGTATTTCTCAGAGCTAGGTTTTGAAATGTTTTCCATTCTTCTCAAATCTGAACTCTCCAGTTCTGTCCTCAAATGGTAAATTATCTTATCCCTTACTTTGAGATTAAAGCCATTGACATTAAATTTTAATTGGGCTGGTGGAAAGTGTGGGAAGAATTTGTAGTAGGTGCTTAGAAAACTAGGCAAATGAAAAAGTAACATAATTAGCTCTGGGGAAAGGAAAGAGTTGTACCAAAAAGGAAACATGATTATACAGTAGTAGTTATACAGTAGTAGTTAACTACTAATCTCATCAGGTACAAAACTACCTGGGAGATAATTATTTTTAAGCTTGGAGGAAAGCAAGTGGTCGTGGTGTAAATCCTCATTTTCTGTAGAAAAATCGATAGGTATATCTAAACTTGCTATTTCAAGAGATACCATTACTGAGGTATAAATAGCAAGAATAAAAGTTAAAAGGTTCTCTTGGTGTGAGAAGAGGAGCTATATTTGACTTTACTCACTATGCATGTTGTTACTTAGATATAAATGAAAATATTTTTTAAAAGAGGCTTAATTAAAAATCTTCTCAAGGGGTGGTAAAAGTGAACCAAATCTTTTTTTCACGGACTCTCTTTACCTTTATTTCTTTATTTTTATATTTTTTAACTTTTTTTTTTTTTCTTTGGCTGCTTTGGGTCTTGGTTGCTGCGCACGGGCTTTCTCTAGTTGCAGTGAGTGGGGCCTACTCTTCGTTGCGGTGTACGGGCTTCTCAGTACGGTGGCTTCTCTTGTTGCGGAGCATGGGCTCTAGTTGCGCAAGCTTCAGTAGTTGTGGCGCGTGGGTTTAGTTGCTCTGTGGCATGTGGGATCTTCCCGGACCAGGGCTCGAACCCGTGTCCCCTGCATTTGCAGGAGGATTCTTAACCACTGCGCCACTGGGGAAGTCCCTATGTCTTTATTTTTCTTGTTTACTTTACACTTCATGCCTTTTCCCTTGTTATAACTTTACATTTTACTTTATGGTGCTTGGTTATGAAAGTTTAAAACTTTGGGGATATTGAGCTTGTAAATTTTAAAAAATATTTTTGTTATGTGTTTTGAGAATAGTTTGAAATTCTAAAAAGTGAGGAAAACTTGCTTTTGGTGCAGATACTTTATTGATACTAAGTTAAAAATAAAGTAGTATGGGTAGTGATAAACTTGTCCAGTGTTGATAAAGTTAAAAGATTTTACTTGCAAAATTATTATGTTTGTCCACTTATAACACTGTCTTGTTTTTAGAAGGATTTGTTTCCACAGTTGATTTAAATTATTAAAGTCATTTTCAGGGGTGAAAAAGATAATTTCTGAATGTCTGTTGTGAAAGAAATAATTTGAATTTCTATTGCATTCTGTAATTTGCTGTTGATACTGTGTTGAAACTAGTAGTTGATTGTAAAGTTAGCTTCTAAATTATCCTTTCCTTATCTTTTCTAGGTTAGATTAAGGAGGATATTTTCTTAGAGTGGATCGCTGCCTTTGGTAAGAACATGTCGTCCATCTTGCCATTCACTCCACCAGTTGTGAAGAGACTGCTGGGATGGAAGAAATCAGCGGGTGGATCTGGAGGAGCAGGTGGTGGAGAGCAGAATGGACAGGAAGAAAAGTGGTGTGAGAAAGCAGTTAAAAGTTTGGTGAAGAAGCTAAAGAAAACAGGACGATTAGATGAGCTTGAGAAAGCCATCACCACTCAAAACTGTAATACTAAATGTGTTACCATACCAAGGTAAGTGTTGTTAGATCAGAAATTTGATGGCCATACTGTTGAAAATTGCTTAAAGGAATCCGAAGGGAAGTTGTTGAAATTTTGTTACTTTCAAGTGACCTGTCAATAGTGATTATTACAATATGACAGCTATTTTTAACCTGTCCTATTAATTTTGTTTGACTTGTTAAGACTTGTTTATTTTACAAAGCATTTTCTTGAACAGTGAGAAGGTTTAATCAAGCAAAATAAAATACTTAGATTGTATTTTTATCTTCACTGTCTTCATTTACCTTCATTGCCTAAATGCTTCATTGTGTTATCCTAATTTCTGTGATTGAATGACATTTGAATAAAGATTCAAAGATTTTTCTGTCACTAGTGCAGTAGTGACTGACAGTTTTCTCCTCTCTTGGTCAAAACTTCAGTAAGGAGTGAACAGAGGCTGCTAACATTGTGATGAATTTTATGTAGCTTTTGCTTGAGTTGCAGCATTACTTCTAACAAAGAACAGTATGTGAGACAGCTTCCTAGGTGTCATAGGTGGTCAGAACCTGTCTTGAAGACCTACCTCTTGTATTAGAAGGACCTATTACTTAAGAGGTTGAAGTTTTATTAGTGTAAATTTAATCATTTACAGATCAGTACCACTGTCAGAAATACTGTTTTTTAACCTAAAGTAGCAAGTGGTTTTTAAGTGTTTTAATGTGTACTACTGTAGTTGCGCACATTACAGGGTTTGCGGGAGTGTCAGTTTATAGCATTTTCTAAAAATGATTGTTTTCAGTGTCATACACATAGGCTAGCATATGGCACGTAAAACCATTCTACTTGACACGTTTCTAATGAGTTTTGGGAAATACACTCTGGATGCTTGTTGATAATAGATCCTAATAACACCAGCCTGTCTGCTTGCAAATACTAAGAGTAGAATGTTTCCTCCCTTGTTTGGTAGATTAATTATCCATTTCTTTTACCTCACTTGTTTCATGTATTTCTTAAATAAGTCACTTGTCCTGGTTTATTCTTTTGTTTTAGAAGTGTTTATGAATGCCTGTTGTGTACAAGGCACTGGTTTTAGGCACATGGGATAGATTACAGTATGAACAAAACTCCGAGTTCCTGCCCTCCTCAGGGATAGATGTACACAGTAAAAAGTGGACAAATTAATCTAATTTGAGATGGTAATGAGTACAAAGAAAACAACGACTGAGGGGTAAAACTGCTTTGGATTGGACTGTGACACTTAAGCTGAGCTTTGAGAAGTAGCAGCTAGCTGAGGGAGGTCTTCTAGGCAGAGGAAGGGGTGAGTGTAAAGATGCCAAGTCAGGACATAGCTTATTGTATTGGAGGACTTACTGTATCGCAATAGAGATGGAGTGATACAAAATGAGTACAAAACTTGGAAAGGGTCAGATCATAGAGGGCATCGTAGGGCAGTTTGAATTCTAGTGTCAATGTAATAGAAAGCAAATAAAGATTTTTAAGTGGGTTTTCAGATTTTAATCCATTTTAAAAGAATTTTTTACATTTATATTTTTACAAAGATCATTCTGGCTGCTGGACACACGTGGTTAGGGCTGGGGGTGGGTAGTGGTGTAGTGGTGTGTGTGTGCCTGTGTGTGTGTAGTAGACTGGTGTGGTATAGTGGTCTGCAAGCAGGGAAATCAGGAGGCTATTGAAGCAGTCCAAAATAGAGATGCCAGAGGTTGGGCTGGCATGGAGGCTGTGCTGCCACTGGAAGTGGATGGATTTGGTTGGAAGTTGAACTGACAGGACTTGCTAATGAATTGGTTAAGAATAAGTCAAGTTTTTTGTGTTCATTTTTTCTTGTATAGTGCCTGGTATTTCAGTTCAGTAAACATTTATAAACATACAGTCTTTGCTCTTGAGTTGCTTACTTCCTAGTAAGGGAGGTAAACTTTAAAAAATAAGAAAGATAATTTCATAATGTGCAGGAGGTGTTCTGAAAGATGTATGCTTAGGGAGCTGTGTCCAAAGTGGGGACCATTCCCTCCTCTGCGGCTTGTGGAAAGTTTCCTCCTGGAGAAAGATTGGTGCCTGAGTTGGGTGAAGGTAAAGGAGGAATTTAGTCAGGAGAAGCTCCAGTCATCCAGAGTGACCCTGGGGTGTTGAGATGACTGGTGATGGGGTTCCTGGGAGTGTCAGGTGGGAGGTGGGATATGGCAGGACTCAGAGGCTGTGTGGTAGTGAGGAAGCACCACATCCTGCACGCTGGGGGGTTCACACTGAACATGAGTGTGATTGGGTGATGGGGGAGTTGTCAAAGAGTCTTAGGTAAAGAAGTGGGGAAAATGGTTGTGAGACTGTCAAGAGTGGAGGCAGGGAGACCAGTTAGTATGTTGTCTCCTCATCCAAGGGAGCTGTGTGATCCAGGAAGACAGGGGGCTATGCTTTTGCACAGCTTCATCTAGGGCTCCGGTGCCAGTGTGGTGAGGTTGTTGGCAGAACAGAACTGAGAGGAGAGTCATGCAGTCCTGTCTCTTAAGGAGATACAGTAGGAAGCAGCCTCATGATTGCAATGTATAGACCTTCTATTTAAACTGTAGAAGTCCCTTTAGTCGAATTTCTTTTCCTTATTTTCCGGTCTTCGTTTTACAGTCTAGTTTTTAGAGATTTTTTTTTTTCCATATTCTAGGGCTTTTTCATCATTTAAAGATTTTTTTTCCCTGCACTTTTACCTGAGTAATGAAAGTGAAGTGGCTGGCGCTTGTCCAGTATCTTGTTTTTCACTCTTTAAAAGTTCCTTGAAGCTTAGAAACTTGCTTGTCTAATTTGGTGGTCTTTTTTTTTTTTTTAACATTTCAAGAAATGTAGATTTGTTAATATTGGCTGTTTATCAAAAAACTTAAGTTTCTTGCACTATATTCTGGAGCAATATATTTTATAAAGTTTGTTTTTAATAGTAGAACAGTTATATTGTGTCAGATTATTAGTCATCTCTTAACTACTAAATGTATTTAAACATTCAGGCAACTCTTAATTATATAGACTGTAAAAGGTGGGGAATGGGTGTGGAAAGGGTCCATTATGGAGGAATCCAAACCCTAACTTAAGCAAAAGTATTTAAAATGTAATTCATGGTGGATTTACTGTAAGCTTATTAACTTAAAATTGCAAAGAAGTTGTCAATAAAATACCTTAAGATATTGATGTATTCATCATGCATTAATGAACATGAAACATAAATTACTTAATTTTTTAAAATGACAAATGTTTTCTGTTAAAAAAAACCCTGTTTCATTGACTCTTCTTAACAGTTTCCTTTCCTCCACCTCCCACCTTCTAATGTTAGAGTGGGACTAAATTGCGGATAGAAACATAGTCCTGACTTTATTTCCCTCCCATCCCCCTCACGTAATTAACTCTGCCTTCATTGCTTTGTCTCTGAAGGGATTGAAGCTACTACCCATATGTGTCACTGCTTCCTTCCTACTGTTTTATATGGTGACACAAAGTGATTCATGGGTAGATCTTAACCTATTAAGCTACAATGAGCTGAATAGTATAAAGTTTCATGAAGCTTTTCCATCTCAATTTTTTGAGACTAACAAATGGAGGACAACTCAGTCATAAAATCGGAATGGCAATTGATATTTAGGTAATGAATCAGAAGAAAAAAAAAGTGACTTTCAGTGCATTTAATCTACAGTAAAGCAAAATCCAAACAGCAGTGGGGATGGAGAGCTTTGTAAAGTTTAAAACAAGTGGCTGTGAGGTCTGAAATGCCAATTTGATAATATCCATTGTACATAAATGTGTAGGAATGAAGAATCTATTTTCATAAACATAAATTATAAGGGCTTTCCTAAGGTGGTACTTTGACCATATAATTACATTTTGATCTTTCATCTTGAGGAAATAATCAGGAATATGGTCCAAGATTTCTGGTGTTCATTTCAGCATTGTTTATAACAGCGAAGAATGAGAGAAACCCAATCCTAACCCACAGTTTCCTTAATTCTAATAATAAAGGAAACTTAACCCAACTCATTTTGTACCAGAATTGAAAATGAATAGTAAAAGTAAAGTTTATATCAATCTTACTCATAAAAACAAATGCAAAAATTATAAATGAAAAAGCTTGAATTATAAAAATAAAACCACAAAGTCATGACTAGGTAAGGTTTATTGCAGGAA